CCGCCGCGAATTCCGCGGCCTAATTTCAACCGCGGCTTTTCTCTCGCGGCGGCCATCTTTAATCTTGCGTCTCGCGAGATTACGGTCGCCATTTTAGAATCGCCGCAAATTGCAGCGAATCCACAGAATGGCAAGTTCGACGTCTACTGCAAAGTGTCTACCTACAGTCTGCTACAGAGGTCAGTCACACAAGCTGTTTAAAGGCACATCAGTTATTAACCTGTGCCTGACTGGGGTGCTGCCCTATATTGTGCTGCTAAGGAGGTCGCTTTGTGGCCACCTCTATCATACTGGGTGAGGCCCATAACACATAAAAAAAAAACAACAAGTGGTTTATTTGCCCTGCTGGGGCTAAGTGGCAATACAGAGCCTATTGACAAGCCTATTGGGCACTATACATCCTGCTAGGGTACTTTATAAAATGTATTATTACCTTGCTGGGGCACATTCTCCTGCATACCACTACTCATACCCTACTGGGGTATCATTAATTACAACCCTGCTGGGGTTATCTGGTTTACATATAACTAGTTACTATACCTTCTGGACCCTGCTGGGGTACTCGGTTTTATCATACACCTACTATACCAACTGGGTATTATAAATATCTGCTAACACTGCGGGGTTTTTTGTTGTACTCTATACAACTATTAGACATTATTGCGCCCTGCTGGGGCCTTGCATAACGATATTCATACAGTCCATATCGACTAAAATACAGCAGACTGACCTCTACCACGCCCTGTGCCAATCATATACCCAGTCATCATGGAGACCACTCAAACTACAGATCTCCAAAATATGGTGAACGAGGCCGTTTCCGCCTCAGTGGAGAAAGTCCTCTCCAAGATGATGGCCTCTGGTTCCGACAAGAGGAAACCATCAAAAGCCATTCCATCCCGCCACGACTCCGATTCTGATGCACCAGAATCTTGCAAAAGCCCAGAAACTCTCACGGGCAAACGCCAATGGAAAGGCGAAAAGGGTCTCCAAAACCCAAACAAAGGCAAAAACCCAGCTAAACGCACTAAACCCACTACTGCCGCCACCCCGAATCCACAACACGACTACTCTTCGGACGAAGAAGAATCTCACGCTAAATCCATGGCCATCTTAGATGAATGGCAAGCGGATGAGTCAGACTCCAACGAAGACGCTTGGGGCTCAGACTCCGGATCCCAATCCTTTTTTCCGCAACACACACTCATGGGAGAACCCCAAGACCAAGATAACGCGGAAACCCCGCAAGAAGATGAAGACACCATCTTCGACCCACTGGGACAAAAACTTTTTGGCCCAAGAAAAATAAGGCACCCACGCTCAGGCGACTGGACACCACCCGAACACCTAGCAAGGTTCATGCACCTCTGGCTACGAAAGTCCATGGGTAAGACGGTCCGTTGCGGACACACCCAGAATTCGATCGGGTGATGACCACCTTTATGTCACGAGGTGGCCGTGACCCACGCAAAGGAGTAGAGAAAGGGTTTAGAGGGGTACAAGATAAACTTCTGGACTCAGTGGGACCACTATCCAGAATTATGTACTTGGCTGACGATGCCCTAGCCAAAGCTGATCAATTTGACGCTACTATGGTGCGCGAATGGGCACATGATGTGCGGGAATGGGCTCAAAGGTGCTTTTGTTTTGTGGGTAATGCCAATGTCGCCTTATCATCCGAGCGACACAAAGCAGCACTTCTCCGCATTGACGGGCACCAAAGAACTAGGTCCTATGGCACAGGGCAGGCTCTTCGGAGAACCTTTTCTTAAGGAATTGAGCAGACATGTTAACGTCTACACATCCCTGACCAAGGCTCAGACATCAATGCGAAGAGTCTTTAGACAAAACCCCTCCAGGGGTGTTTTCGGACGGGCTAGCCGCCAGAGGGGCCGTGCTGCCAGCCGCTTCTGGCCCTCAGGCCCCCGATCTACGAGACCCCAGCCTTTCTATCCAGAGATGGGATACCGCCCATCTTCCTACACTCGAGGCGCAGACAGAGGTCGCGGACCACGCACTCGAGGCAGAGCACGTTTCTCCTCAGGTAAGCAACCATTTCACCCATGTTTCCCTTCCAATGCATACAGCAGGTCGCATATCCCTTTTCTTCCAGGAATGGACCTCCATCTCCATGGACGCATGGATCCTACAGACAGTACAAGGCTACGTCATAGAGTTCGTAGACCAACCTCGACAGACGGAACTACCACGTCCCATCAACTGCTCAAGAAGGGACACATCCCTCACCAAACGGGCGATCTACGACCAGTCATAAACCTACTCAACCACTTACAACCACTTCAAGATGGAAGGCATACATCTTCTGAGAGACCTCCTACAAGACAAGGATTGGTTCACGAGACTGGACCTCAAGGACGCATATCTATCAGTTCCCGTCCACCAATCCTGCAGACAATCCTTGGCAATTCACGTGCCTCCCCTTCGGCCTCAGTTCGGCCCCATGGTGCTTCACCAAACTGCTGAAACCTGTGGTCGCACATCTTCGAGCTCAAGGCATTCGCTGCATTATATACCTGGACGACCTCCTACTGTTCTGCTCAGACAGACTCAGACTGATACGGCACACACGATATACCACGGATCTCCTGTCATCCCTGGGCTTCACAGTGAACTTTCAAAAATCGGCTATCTCCCCATCACAAACAGTTCAATTTCTGGGATTCGAGATAGATTCCACCTCCAGCACTCTACGGCTACCGACAGCAAAAATCTCAGCCATTCGCAAGGAATTACGCAGGGCCATCCGCTGCCACACCATTCCACTCCGCGCCCTCGCACGCATTGTGGGACTTCTCTCTGCTTTCATTCAAGATATATTTCCCGGTCCACTTCACTACAGGGCGATGCAACGTCTCAAAGCTTCCTTCCTCAGGGAAAACCCCTCATACGACCAGCCGGTCCCGATGACAGAGGAAGTTAGAGACAAACTCAGATGGTGGCTGGACAGCATGGAGGCATGGAACGGCCGAGCCATCTTCGGACAGGCTCCCGACATGATATTATAATCAGACGCCAGCCTCTGGGGATGGGGCGCGACGAGCGAAAATATATCGACAGGAGGCGCCAGGACATCCCAAGACCTCAATTTACATATAAACTGCCTAGAACTCCTAGCCGGGTCTTTCGCTATCCGAAACCTAGCGAAGGATAAGTCGGATTGTTGCATCCTCCTCCGGATGGACAACATCTCCGCAGTCCGCTACATCAACCGCCTAGGCGGAGCCTGCTCCCGTCTCCTGTCAGAAATAACGAAAGAAATTTTCGACTTCTGCCTACCCCGCAACATCTCCCTCACGGCGGAATACCTCCCAGGAGAGACAAACCTGACAGCGGATTGGTTCTCACGCCACTGGCGGGACACCAGCGACTGGAAACTGGATCCACAAATCTTCAACCACATTGCGGAACGCCTAGGACCACTCCACCAGGACCTATTTGCGTCCCGCAACAAAAGACAAACAAAATTATACTTCAGCTGGCTCCCGGACCCGGAGAGCGCAGCACTGGACGCATTCCTACAACCATGGCCGATCACAGGAGCCTACGCCTTCCCTCCTTTCGCCATGATAGCGAGGACCATACACTACCTGAAGAACCAGCAAACCTCGCTAGTACTCATCACTCCACTATGGAGGGGACAACCATGGTTCCCAGATCTCCTAGCTCTATCATGCAACGATCCTCTCCTACTACCTCATCATCAGTACATTCTCACAGATCCAAAAGGCAACCCTCATCCACTCATCCTAGACAATCGCCTCCATCTGGTGGCTTGGATGCTTTCAGGGGCTCCTGGCAAGTCGGCGAACTATTGCAGGCTGCTAAGGAACTACTATGGGACTCATGGGCCCCCGGAACCAGAAGATGCTACCTATCCGCTTGGAATTCCTGGTCCACTTGGTGTTTGGAACGGAACCTCGATCCATTTACGGCCCCTATTTCAGCCATTTTGAACTTCCTATCCCACCTATTCTCATTAGGTCGGTCTTACAGATCACTTAACGTAATTTGTTCAGCTATTTCAGCGGCCCATGTCCCCATACAAGGGATCCCGGTTGGTAAGGAACCACTCGTATGTCGACTCCTGAGAGGCATTCGATTACAACGCCCCCCAGGGCCGAAATATTCTCAATTCTGGGACGTCGACGTAATCCTCCGATTTCTGAGAGACTGGACAACTAACGACAGACTCTCCCTCCGTCAACTCCGTCATGTGATAAAATTGAAGATTATGCTAGCGCTAGTGTACTTATAATCTTAATTTTAATAATGACAGGAGGCGAGTATTTTCCCACCCTTCCCACCCGGAGAGGAGGGCAACTACTCTATTCATACGTTATCTACATCTTTCCATTCTCCTGTTTCTTCCTATCTCCTTGAACCAATAGGTTGGCATAATGTATCCACTGTTATCATCAGCCTATTTAACTACTAGTAGATTATACACTGAATACGCTAATTATACTAGTGCATGTTATCCGATGAACCACTGTCATGACTACAAACAGTTTCAAGACCGGCGCCTAACCTTTTCATATTCTCTGTACAGTTTAATTCCGTAAAAATTTGGAACATCTACGGCATAACCATAGGATTACGGTTCATCATATAAAGACCAAGACTCCTATTGGACGTTCACCTGTTGGTGCCTATATCTACTCGAGCCAGGAAGTTGATCATTCCCGTTAGATACCACTACTGATGTTCGTTACAGACTTTATCGCTAACTTTCTTCCCTGTTCCGATGTCGCTTCCGAAAGAGGGGGAGGCGCCTGTTATCTGGGATAATATACTCCCTGTTTGTATTTTGATTGCTTTAAATGTTTTCACTTTCTTTACTGCTGTGGAGTTAAGTAAAGAGAGCAATGCAAAATACTCGCCTCCTGTCATTATTAAAATTAAGATTATAAGTACACTGGCGCTAGCATAATCTTCAATTTCTAAAACAAATAGTGTATAAAAACTAAACACACAGCCCATTAGAAAATATTCCACAAACTGGAATAACGTTGCCCTTGCCGTGCAAGATTATCAACTTTCCGAGATTTAGTATCATCTGCGCTGCGATGTGTGGTCAGCCATTTTGTGACGTATGGTAAAGGATCCCATAAATGCACAGGAGGCCCAATGAGACTAATAAACAAAAGAGAAGACAGGCGTTCAATGCCAAGCCCACTCCTAATGGGTGACATCACCAAATTAATTGTACTGAAGCCCCTTTCACAATCACCGGATGTCACTGGAAGACTGTTAACTGCTGTCACCACTGGTTTTAGATTTTTGGGAATATCTGCACCACCATTATCAATGTAGTCTCTGAAACCTTCACAGATGGATGCATACCTGAGACGGAATCTTTTGCACAGCTGCTCCAGCTTCGCTTCACCTTCAAACCACGGACTGTCCACATTGATTGGCCAGCGCTGTGAATTCAGGATGTCAATTTCAGAGACAAGAGTTTCAAATTCACCTGACTGTCATGAAGCTGCAGGTCTGTTGCTCGCAGTTAAAGCAAAGAGTCTGGAGCGTAAAGTATCCACCAAACTTTGATAAAATTGAGGGATATTTATCCTCACTTGGCCTTTTGTACTCTCTGGATTGATGGTCACACCTTTGAAATTCCCTTTCTCCAGCGATTCCATTATTTCTTTCAGATGTTTGCCAGGCATGTCTTTCATTTTTTCAACGGCACGAACGGAACGATTAATCAGCTGATAGGCTCGTGGAAGTGTGATGTCATCTCTTTGCAGAGCTTCAGATAACAGTCCCATTTCCTGAACAGCATCCGCAACCCCTGCAAGGTTTAACAAATAATCTACTGATGTCAAGACCTTGTTAAGGCCACTAAATACAGATTTCTGCTTACTGTTATTAGCTGAACTTAAGCTTGCTTTCAAGAAATGACTGTGTAAGGCAGGATATGACTCCCAAACTGTTCGTATAGCTCTCTGGCTTGAAGCAACCCATCTAACTGAAAAAACTTTTCCATTTTTAAGAATTTGTACTTCTAATTCTTTTGCACATTCTGAGAGCTCTGCCAGATTTTTTGGTGACTGATGATACACAGCATACAACTTCTCCAAAAATGATGTTACATGATGAAGACCAGGAATAGAATCAATTGTATCTGAAATGCACAATTCAAGCCTATGACACAAGCAGTGCCATTTCCCAATCTTTGGATATTCCAGAACACCCGACTTTCTTCCAAGCATTACACTTGCACCATCACTGCAAGCCCCAATCCAGTTCTCGGCAAGAAAGTCATTACTGAACCCAAATTTAGAAAGACAAGCTAGAAGAGTGGCTTCAATAGACTGTGCAACTGCTTTAGGCAAATCAAGCAAATCAAGAAAGAAAGTGACTGGGTCTTTTTCGTTAACAGAGGCACGAATATAAACTATTAACACTGAATGGGTAGAAACTGTTGTAGACTCATCAATATAAACAGAAATTTTTGTAGCCTGCTCAACAATTGCTTTGCAAAGCTTTTTTTCTCATTTCACTAGCAATGCAATCTATTATTAATGCAAACTTATGCTTCTGCTGTTCAGCAATATTGGATTGCAGAATCTCCTTTCTGGATACTGCTTGGATATCTCCCGCCTTCACATGTGCTTCTGAAATCTTATGTATGCGGATTTTTTTTACGTAGTGAGGTCAACATATCTTTTTTTGTTTTGCCATATGGTGTAATTGTACCAGTGCTCCATTCTTTAGAAATGGATACACCCTGTGAAACAGACACTCCAAGGTGTTTAACCTCGCGACACACTTTGCACCCTAAAAGACCATTGTCTACAAACAGCCAAGGGTACTTTTTTTTAAATTCTAGCCACTGATTCTGGTCCCAACATTCTGGAAGAATGTTATCACTGACATCGGCATCTTCAGCCACATCAGTAACCATGTCCACTACAGCCGATTCACTGACTGATGTAGTTTCTGCAGCGGACACCGCCTGCTGAAGCAAAGGCTCAGACTGAGTGGAGCAACTTGCAGAATCATGTGATTTTTTTATTGGATGCCTTTGTGAAGAAATCCGTAATGCTGCTTTTCTGATTAAAAAATAAAATTCTAATAAAAAGACCTCTTTAAGTAAAGAATTCCCCATCGTTTTGTTATTACCTCTAATTGTGAAAAACTCTTTTGTCTCTGGTGGCAGTGGTGGGGGTGGCCCAGTGACTGTGAGGTGTAGGGTAAGGCACAAATAAGCCCAATTGTATGAAATAAAATGAATAATTATTCTAAAAAAAATTTTTTTTTTTTTTTAAATGATCTAACAATTAGTCTCATATATTAGTCCCCAGTCCAGTGGATGTGACACAGATCTCAGTTATTTTACATATGGTTTGTGATTCTGTTTGCCACCCTTTAGTGTCTGTGTTTTTAAGCCCTTAAGGACTGAGCCAAATGTACACGTTGTGATCAAAACAAAATGTAAACCAAAACAGGAATTTGTGCTATATGTCTGTTCAGGTGTAATTCGCCTCTTCATATTATGTGCACCTACACTTATTATATATCATTTTATTCAGGGGAAACAGGGCTTTCATTTAACATCAAATATTTAGGTATGAAACATAATTTAATATAAATAAAATATAAAAAAATTGTAAAAAATAAGAATTTTAAAACAAATCTTAGTTCTACGTGACATTTTAACTGTGTCATAATACTGTTTGCTTTTACTGCAATAATACACACATATTTGTATTCAGCGATGTCTCACATGTAAAACAGTACAGGTTTTATTGTGTTTTGGGAAGTTACAGGGTCAAATATAGCATGTTAAATTTTTCATTTTTTTCACATTGAAATTCACAAGATTGGTTATGTTGCCTTTGAGACTGTATGGTAGCCCAGGAATAAGAATTACCCCCATGGTGGCATACCCAGGGGCGGACTGACCGGTCGGGCACTTCGGACACGGTCCGAGGGCCCGGCCGGGAGGGGGGGCTTGCCGCCAGGGCCGCCTTCAGGGGGCCGGCCGGCAGGGCTGGATTGGGGGCGGCATTTGGGGACTGCAGGTGCCACCGGGTGGCCGGTCCGGTGGCACACTGTGAGGGGGGGGCGGCCGTTTGATGCTGCAGCCGCCGGACCGGGTAGCAACCTCGCCGGTCCGGCGGCATTCCTCTCACTAACACTGAAGGAGGAGGAGGAGGAGCATGTGTCTGTCATGCTCCCTGCGGTTCCCACAATTCCCAGCACAGGATGTGGGAACCGCAAAGGAGCATGATAGACACATCCTCCTCCTCTTCCTCCTCCTTCAGTGTTAGTCAGAAAAGAATACGCGGACAGCGAGGCTGATCGCTTTCTAGCATCAACAACATAACAGTAGAGAGGATAGAGATGGGGGAAGAAGAGGCAGAGAGATGGGAGGGAAGAAAGGGGAAAGAGGAATATAGGGAGAGGAGGGAAAAGGAATATATAGGGGAGAGGAGGAGAAAAAGAATATGGGGGGAGAGGAGGAGGAAAAAGATATAGGAGAGGAGGAAAAAGATATAGGGGAAGGAGGAGAGAAAAGAAGATATAGGGGAGAGGGAAAAAGATATAGAGGAGAGAAAAAGATATAGAGGAGGAGGAAAAAGATATAGAGGGAGGAGAAAAAGAGATATGGGGAGGGAACAGAGATATGGGAGAAAAGGGAGCAAGATATAGGGGAGGGGGAGAAAGAGGGAACAGAGATATAGAGGAGAGGGGAGAAAGAGGGGAACAGAGATATGGGAGGAGAGAAAGGGGGGGAACAGAGATATGGAAAGAGGGGGGAACAGAGATATGGGGAGGGGGGAGACAGACAGAGAGGGAAGAATGAGACACGGGGAGAAAGGGGGAATAGAGAGATAGGGAGGGGGAGAAAGAGACACAGGGGGAGAAAGAGATGGGGAGGGGGAGAAAGAGACAGAGAGGAAGAGAGATGTGGGGGAGAGAGAGAGAGACAGGGAAAGGGGGGAGAAAAACAGTGGAAGAGAGGGAGAAAGAGGCAGAGGGGGAAGAGAGACTGGGAAGGAGGGGGGAGAAAGAAACATACAGAGGGACGGGGGGAGACAAAAAGGCACACAGAAGGGCTGTATATATCACTGGTGGATCCAGGGGGGCAACAGGGCAATTGCTCCCCCTCCCCTGTCCCCCTGTCCGCAGGCACCGTGCGGGCAGGGGAGGAAGGAAGAGAGGACCTGGGAGCTCACCCTGCAGCTCCTCTGGGTCCTTCTTGCACGAGCACAGAGCAGTGCCGCGATTACCATGGCAACGTTACCGCTCTTGCGAGAGTCAACTCTAGCCCTGGAGTTACGGTCTAGTGTTCACTCTCAACACTGTGACCCCCAGGGATTCCTGGTGGTCGCAGTGGTGAGAGTGAACTCTAGCCCCATAAACACACTGCCCCCACACACACACCATACACATTCACACACTGCCCCATACACACCATACACATTTACACACATTGCCTCACACACACACACATACACTGCCCACCCATATACACATAGACCCCCATACACAGCCCCCCATACTAACATTGCCACACACGTACACAGCCCACACACCCTACACATTCACACACTACACCCCCCACACACACTGAACCTTTCACACACATTGCACCACTGCTCCTATTCCCTACTACAGCCCCATATCCCAGCAGATCCCAGGTAAGTTGTCAAACTGTTCTTAAATGATTTGACTACTTACTCTGGAGCAGTAGTGGTTATTGCGCATGGATTATTTATTTAAATAATCTACAAGTGCCCCAGTAGCCAGCCAGCCAACCCACAGGCTGGCCGGTAGCCAGCCAGTTAGCCAGCCCACAGGCCAGTAGCCAGCCCACAGGCCTACAGCAAGCCACAGGCTTACAGCCAGCAAGCCCACAGCCTGCCAGTCGCAGTCAGCAAGCCCACAGCCTGCCAGCCGCAGCAAGCAAGCCCACAGACTGCCAGCCAGCAACAGTAATTAAGGTAAGAGGAGCCAACTTGGCCTAGGTATCAGTGAGCTATGTTGTGTTGCTATATTGTAGTCTCTAATGGGGCCTGGAGGAGATTATTTCTAACACACTCTCTAAAGGACACTGAGATAGCCTCTGCTAGAAATCCCCTCCATGGCCCATTAGCCCTCAATTGTAGTCTCTACTGGGGCCTGGAGGTGACTGTTTCCAGCAGGGGATATCTAATGGACGCTGAGATGGCCTCTGTTAGAAAGACCCCCTTCCAAGCCTATTAGACTCCATTGTAGTCTCTAATGGGGCTTGGAGGGGATTCTTTCTAACACACTCTCTAAAGGACACTGAGATAGCCTCCGCTAGAAAGACCCCCCTCCATGGCCCATTAGCCCTCAATTGTAGTCTCTGCTGGGGCCTCGAAGGGCTTATTGCCCTTTTGTTCCTTGTGTCTAAAGATTGTGTAGGGTGTGGCTGGAGGCGGTGCATGGAGGCGGGACAAGGGTGGCGCTTGCTGCAGAGTATGGGTGGGGCCTGTAAGGGGGCCCTTGATTTATTTTGCCCGGGGGCCCTGAGGGTTCTCAGTCCGCCCCTGGGCATACCTTTTGCAAAAGTAGACAACCCAAGGTATTGCAATGGGGTATGTCCAGTCTTTTTTAGTAACTGTGACTAAGTGGCTACTAAATAAGTCTGAACATACCACATACCTAGGGTTGTCTACTATTGCAAATGGTATGCCATCATGGGGGTAATTTTCATTCTCAAAAGGCAACATAACCAACCTGGCAAATTTTAATTAGAAAAAAACTGAAACGCAAGCCTTATATTTGACTCTGTAACTTTTGAAAACCCCATAAAACCTGTACATGAGGGGTACTGTTATACACGGGAGACTTCGATGAACACAAATATTAGTGTTTCAAACCAGTAAAACGTATTACAACAATTATATCGTCCGTGTAAGTGCCATTTGTATGTGAAAAATGCAAAAAATGTCACTGACGATATCATCGCTGTAATACATTTTACTGTTTTGAACCACTAATATTTGTGTTCAGCAAAGTTTTCCGAGTAAAACAGTACCCCCCATGTACAGGTTTTAGGGTGTCACCACCCTCACCTCTGCCTTGAACACTGCAGCCCCGCTCCAAACATGCACCTCGAGGAGGGAAAGCCCCCAACCGTGGCATACTAAATTAACACGTTACTTGCAAAGATCCTCCCGTTGTGCTAAATGCTCCTGGAGGAAGTCTCACACCCAGTCAGACTTTCTCCATTATAGATTCATATTGTGTTCATACAGCGCAGCCCTTGCCCTCGCCAAACAGTCATACTTTTCCTCTCTCATTAGTTCATGCTCCCGCAATCCCAGGCGTCTCTTTGACACCTTTAATTCTCTTCTTCGACCTGCTGTGGCCACACCCAAACTAACCTTACAGCCGATAGCTTTGCATGTTACTTTACCGACAAGACTGAACAGCTAAGGAAAGAATTCTCCCCACCTTGCCATTCTCTTTTTCAACCACACATAGATAATGCCTTTCCTACCCTTCAGACTTTCTCCCCAGCTACTGAACAAGAGGTGGCTGTGCTTCTCCTTTCCTCTCACCCCACCACTTGCCCACTCAATCCTATCCCATCTCACCTTATCAGATCTCTCTCCCCTTGTATTGCGCCTTCCTTAACACACATCTTCAATTGCTCTCTCTCTTTTGGCATTGTCACTGCTGACCTTACACATGCCACTGTAGTACACATCTCTTGAGCCATTTTTCCCCTCTAACTATCGTCCCATATCCCTGCTTCCTTTCTCCTCAAAGCTTCTGGAAAGACTTGTCTTTACCCATATGTCTCACTTCCTCAATTCCAACTCTCTCCTTGACCCTCTTCAGTCTGGCTTCTGCCCTCTCCACTCTAATGAGACTGCTCTTATCAAAGTTACTACGATTTTTTTTTTTCATCTTAAAAATAAGGAG